CGTGAACATGAACAAGTCATGTTTTTGTCAAGTTTAAGCGTACAACTATATGAAAATACAAACCTTAAAAACACATTAAAAATCTTTTCGAAAAAAAAAAACTCAGCGTTCATGTGCACCATGCTATGCACGTTACATGGAAACTAACTCGTATTATTGGCTAACGGAACTTAAAATCACTAAATATTGCTAGTTACACGTTTCCTTTTAAAATACTTAAGCCTACCTTTAGTAGTTTTGTTGATACGTACGAATATACTTTAGACCTATAATCATAAACAAAATATGGTGGGGTTTTTTTTTATTGCTAAAATACACCTTGTCCACCATTTCCGTTGTCACGTCAATTCATGTCACGCGGTTCTCTGGAATTTCAAAATTCACGCTCTGCTACACAGGTGGTAATTATTCAGGATATTGGCGAAAATATTGGTGAAAATGGCCATAGGAACACTGAGGACCGAGGTTAAATGGGAATATCACGTACAATGGTGTATTTCTATATAAGATAATACTGTATCATCTTATGAATCAAAACGTATAAATACAGATTGGAAACAGTGGAAAATTTCCACTTGCGCGTGCAAGTATATAAAAGTAGGTCTATATATTATACGAAACAAAATTGTATTAAAACACTTCAATAAAATATTAAAATGGTAAAAGATGTATTACTGTAGTTAAAATAATAAGTAATAACACACTGTTTAATTAATATAATTTGATATACTATAAATTGAGTTCTTATGAGGAAACCCCTTCGGTACCAAATTTCCCGAAATAGGTTTATCCTTGGGGGATGGGATTAATATACCGATCCACTAATTAAACCAGAAAAACGGGTGGGGAGAGGAGGTATTAATAATTAACGACTATGTAATATGGTACCATTAGTAATCCAAACGCATCATTCATAGGTATGCAGTTTAATATTGTTTTCGTTAGGCCTATCATTATCTCGGTGCCATATCCCAGAAGCATCGGTCCTTCACCAATTGGAAATCCCGGATGTAAGATAGACGGATTTAGACCGCAGATAGGCCAATGAGTGGTCATTTTTTTTGTTTTTGTTATTGAACTAAAACAAATATCGATTTTTTTTTAGAATTATTTATTTTAACAAAAAGCATTTTTGTTTCATGTTGATATGAAGGTGATGTGTCAAAGGGTATCAGGACTTACTTCACGGGAACTAAGGCCAAACAAATAAACCAATAGTTTTATTTATAAAATAGGCCTATGTTTTTTTTTTGTCTTATCAATGATCGATAATGTTAATAGATTTCTAAGTGAGGGACAGGTACCGTATGATTTTGTGGGGCGAGGGGGGAGGTCTCCGACGAGAGCAAAGTCGGCGTGGTCCCGTATCGATTAGAATGTGGTTCAGGGGTTTCAATGGCTTATTTAATCGTTTTTATATATAGATACTCTACTATATGTAGAAAATACAAAATACACAACTTTTTTTTAAAAATCTCCGACGAATTTTGGTTTTTCTTCTGTTTTGGGGAGGGGCCAGGGAAACTGGAGGAGGGGGAAAGAAAATCCCCCCAACCCCGTAGCGCCGTTATTGATTTTAAAAATTAAACTAGCTTCAAAATTCGGTTTTTGGGTAAAAATGTGTAATATTTGACTAGTTTTTAGTCAAATTTGGCATTAAAATATAAGATTCAACGTGGCAAAAGTCATTCCGTGTTAGCCAAGGCATAGTATTTCTCATAAATAAAATATAGATCATTAAATTTAGCCAAAAAAAGTCATCAAAAATTGTTCTTGGTACTTTTGGGGTCACAACATTACAATGATATGTCATCAAACACATCAATAAATACATAAATTAAATAGCTTTCGTATGATACCAAATATATTCAAATTCATTTTGTAGTTACATACTAGCTTCACAATAACATTTTGGGGTAAAAAGTGTAACATTTCCCATTTTCGGTGGAGATAACGATATACGAAACGGATGATGTCTGAATATGCGTTCAGTTTTTGAGAACGTATCAGACAGACAAAAGGTTGTTAGCTTTCTTTTCGTATTTATATAATAAAACACTTATAGTACTAAATTTAGCCAAGTCATAAAAATTTGTTTTTTTTCGTAGTTATTTTTGTGTGAAAAAATTAACATAATGTGTTATCATTCACATCATTCGATACAAAATTTTAATAGCAAAAATATTCAAATTGAATCTTCCAGTGACGATGTAGCATTAAAATACTATTTTTGGGTAAAATAGGCCTACGTAAAATTTGTAATTTTTTTTTATCAAATTGCCACATAAATTGAAAATTTTGCGTGCCAACAGCCCATTCCTTGTGAGCTGAGAGCTGGTGATGAGGATTCACGTTGTTGCCAGCTTGTAACAAATGATGCCCACGAAAACATAGGCTATATTGACCAATTTTAATTCGTTGGGACCCGTCTATAAGTAGCTGTAAGTCAAGTGAGTGAACACCACGGCATCCGTTCAGTAGGCCTATACTCTTAGTCAATATGAGAATGACATATCAATGTGAGGACATTATATAATCAGCTGTAGTCATATAAATATGGTACACTGGGGATTATATAAACGTGAGGACATTAATCATTGTACTCAAGTGAAATGAAATAATGCCCTCAGTTCAGTCCTCTATTGTCAATATAGGCTAGTACCCTGGGGATTTTATATAAACATGAGGACATAATCATCTGTAGGCAATTGAAAGGAAATAATGGCCTCGGTTCCCCTATTCGCAAAACTATACAAATTATGATAAACTGACCCGGGATTACAATAAAAGTGTGGTCATTAAGGAAATCACTGTCCCTGTTAGTCCTAGTCATTATGTTATAGTACATTGAGGATCTCAACTTTTTGCATGTACTACAGAACTTTCAAACTTCCGCATCAGGATCTATGATTTAGCAATAGGGGTGGATAATGGGAGATAAAGGTCCGTCCCCTCCTATTTGAATTTTTTTTTGTTTTGAATTAGTAGACTGCTAGACGATCTTAGATCCTCTGGCATCTCAAAAGAAGTAAGCTTAGAATAGAAAGTGTATGTTTACCAGAGACATGAGAAGCAGATACACAAGACGATCGGTGACCATTATTTTTTTTTTCACAGTAAACGGAGGTGGGGGGGGGGAGATAGCCACCCTATTAACCCCTCTAGATCCGCCACTGTTTTAAGTGGCAGTTATCAATCTACAGAGGACTTTTGTGATCTGTAGGTGTCATGGAATACGAAACAGCTGGGCAATGGTGGGGATAGCTCATGGTTTTGCCACTGGAGAAGCAGACACACAAGACGAGTGGTCATTTTTTTTTCCACGGTAAACAAATGGGGGGTCAGCCACCATATTCACCCCCTAGATACACGACTGCGCATTGGTATCCTTGTTTTATATTAGTTCTATTAATCTGATTAATTACAGCGTTACAGGGAGTGAAGTGTTTTATGAGTAGAAAATAATTAATAAGAATTAGGATTGGTTTGAAAGGCTTACCTAGTCGATTTTTGTGTCTACTAATATGTAGAAAATACATTACATTTTTCTCCACCAACGAATTGTGGTTTTTCTCCCCAACAGGGGGTGGGAGACAAGACAGACCTCCCCGACGGGGACAAATGGTGGTGCGGCGGAAAAGATAATTGTCCAGAGAACATGGCTCATGACAAGAATGCTGTGAATATTTACTGCATTGTGCGAACATAAACATAAATTACATCTTGATCGCAGATTCTTCACGAGACTCCCCAGGTTGGTTCGTTTTACACGTTCAACATATTTATATTTATTTATATTTTTGTGTCATGTACAATCAGCCACGGCTCCCCCCCCCCCCACTTTGTACACAGTGTTAAAATGTTAAAGCTTATTCTTGAGCCAATACAAATTCTTTCCTGGGATCACTCAAAATGAATACTTCTAAAC